TTAACAAGAGAATTCTGAGTAAAACCAAAGTTACTTTCCCTAGTAACTAGTTACTTTGAAAGTAACGAGTAACTTGAAGTAACTGAGTTACTTTTGATAGAAGTAACTAGTAATGTAACTAAGTTACTATTTTAAAGTAACTTACCCAACACTGCTAGTATGGGAACACTACACAGAAAGAGAGGAAGGCTCTGCAAAGAGTCATAAAGTCTGCGGGGAGGATTATATAAACAGAACCTGCCTCCATGGACCTTTTGTACACACAATGCTGCCAAAAAAAGAGCAGAGAGAATTATCAGGGACTCACACCATCCATCTCACTCTCAGCTCAGACACAAAAACTGCACATACAATCTCAGACACAACAGAGCGGACAGCATCATCACACACAGAACAAGATTCTTCAATAGCTTCTTCCCCGCAACTGTCAGATTGATGGCAAAACATAAACATAAACACTGAATACTTCACAGTCAGGCTAATGGCAAACAAAAAACACAGAACATTTAAAATAACACAGCACTACTTAACTTCACTTGAATGTATGATCGGTTCACTGACCAATGGGCAATACACTCACAACAGACTTGTGAAACAGATCTGTGTAACAAACATGCAATACTGTGAAAAATGTGAAATACTATGAGTGCAATTAGAGGTAGAGAACTACAAACTGTCTGTACAGTTTTTTCTTTTTTCTTGTATATAGAAAATAGTACGATTACCCCACTCCGGACTTTATTTCTATCCTTCTGCTTTTTCTGTCTTTATATTGTTATATTATTATATTGTTATACTGTTAAAGTGTGATTTGACTTGGAAAGCTTTGTACACAAATCCCAGTGTACATGGACTGTTGGTCCTGTGTGCGAATGGCAAAATAAAAATCTTGAATCTTGTTTGTATCATATCTAATAGACTCCAATTTGTACATGTAAATGGAGAGTCCTCTTCACACACTGAGGTCAATTATGGTGTTCCACAGTGTTCAGTGCTAGGACCAATTCTGTTTACATTTTACATACTTCCCTTAGGCAGTATCATCAGAAAGAATAGCATACGTTTTCACTGCTATGCTGATGACACAAAAATCTTATCTATCCATGAAGCCAGATGACACACATGAATTAGTTAAACTGCAGGATTGTATTTAATACATAAAAACCTGGATGACCTCTAATTTTCTGCTTCTAAATTCAGGTAAAGCTGAGGTTATTGTACTCTGCCCTGAAAATCTTAGAAATATCGTATCTAACAAGATACTTGGAGCCTTGGAGTAATTTTTGACAAGAATATGTGCTTGAATGCAGATATTAAAATTCTTCTATCTGCACAATATCTGTAAAATTAGAAATATCCTGTCTCAGAGTGACGCTAAAAGCTAGTTCATGCATTTATTACTTCTAGGCTTGACTACTGTAATTCATTATTATCGGGATGTCCTAAAAACTCGCTGAAAAGCCTTCAGCTGATCCAAAATGCTGCAGCAAGAGTACTGACA